TTTTTTTTTTTTTTTTTTTGTACTGAGGATTGAACTTAGGACCTTGTGCAGCAGGCAGTGGAACCACTGAGCTAAATCCCTGGCCCTCCTGTAACTATTTTAACCAGCTTTATGGGTGTGCAGGGTGCACACACCCTGAAGGGTTTAGCTCCCACTGAACAAGGCAATTGCAAACAGTCTGTGTTTTAAGTTAATTTTGAGTTGTGTATTTCACCTATGAAGCTGTCAAACACTTGAAAGCCACAGCTACTGTTTTCTAAAGGTTCTTTGCACACGAGCGTAAAACACATGTATTGGATTTGGAGATTGTCCAAAAACTGCCCTTTTAACAGCTGAATGTACATCACAGCTGTTTCTTCTAGAAAGATGCACGTCATTGTTATTTTTTTCTTCTCCCACAGAGTGTCTCCTCTGCAGAAGTCTGAGATAGTGGACGTAGTGAAGAAGCGGGTGAAGGCTATCACTCTTGCTATTGGGGATGGTGCCAATGACGTTGGGATGATCCAGACAGCCCATGTGGGAGTAGGGATCAGTGGCAATGAGGGCATGCAAGCCACCAACAACTCGGATTACGCCATTGCACAGGTCAGTTGTGTAAGTGACCAGCTGTTGGGTCTTGTGACAGCGATGGTAGCTAGGCATGGAAGCCTGGTGCTTAACCTACAGTCCAGCTCCAAGAACTTTGCCACCCCATTGAGGTCCTATCTAGATGAAACTACTGGTGCATTTAGATTTCCTTTTTGATCTTCTGCAGTCAAGAGGCCCTGTCTTGCCAGTGTAGTTTCCTCTAGCCAGACATGGGGCTATTCTACTTCTCTGTCATCTAAGCACTGTACTTTTGCTGGCAGAGAGATCCTTGGTCCTATGAATATTTCCTGTCAGCCCCCACTCCTTCTTCTGCTGCACCAGCTTCTCATACATGTTTCCCGCTGAAAATAGCTGAGCTAATAACATTCATTCTCTACCATCACCTCCTGGGACTTCCCCACTTCGTGAAGGTGCTGGCATACACTGACCAGGTGTTTAAGTCAGGGAAAAACAGTGATTTACAGTCCCGCTCAACAGTTATGACTGAGGCGCTGCTGTAGCCTGCTGCTGTGAGGTGACTTGCTGAGTGCATGAACCAGGGTAGGGCCATCATGACTTCATGCTCCAGTAGCAAACGAATCCCTGCTGTCAAGCCAAGTTTATTCCATTCCAACAAGAAATTAGTTGTGTGCAGAGGCTCCTGGTGCACTTTGTGGTTATTGCACAGGTGACCTGAGGATGAAAGACTTGCCTATTCCTATTGACAGCTCAAAGGTGAAGGACAAGAACCAGACTCCTGACTCCTAAGATGTACATCTAGATAACCAGGCTGCTGAATCATCCCTAGATTCCTGATTCCTACTTCAGATTTCAGTGTGTTGTTACTCAGTACCTGTGCCTTCACTGGTTAGCAAGAACTCCCACCTATTTTTGTTTTTAAGATATACACTGTTTAATCACATGAATACAAGGAATAGGGGTTTGTTCCCTCATTAGGCTGAAGTCAGGATCTGCATCTAGAAGTTGAACAAACTTCCTGCAGCTCCAAGGGTTGTGGGATGGTCTTGTGCGACTCACAGTTCCCTTTCCCCAAAGGAGGGCTCTGTGTTAGATCACCTCTCAAGTTCCCTCCTCCTCTGTGTTCTGCACACAGGCAGGAATTTTTAAAATCCACATGGCTCTGAAAAGTGTGCAACACTAATCTTAATCCTTTGTTGATTTCAAATATATCTGAAGGAGAGTTCTTGAAATAGATAAGAGAAAGGATTCTGATTTTTATAGTTGGGAAAGCCAAGGTTCCTTTGTATCAGGTAACCTGCCTCAGGTCTGAGAACAGCCAAGGTCAGAGAAAGGCAGACGCTGGGCTGCTCTACACACCTGCCAGGTTGCTTTCCTGGGTCAGCTGCTCAGAGACCTGTGGGACTTGGGCTTCCTGTACGCTGTCAGCAACTGTGCATGTTATACCTCCCAGCATTAGTAAATACTTGAATTATAACATCATCTGGCTGGAAGGGATCTTAGGAGGTTTCCTAGGAGTTCCAGGCAAATATTTGTCTGTTGTTTTTTTCTTTCAAATGTCCAGGGAAGGGTGATTCTGTGACTTTCTTTATTGGAACTGCATATTAATAGGTCGTGGGATCTGCATCGATTATGCTCCTCAAATTGAAAGGATCAGCGAAGGGTAGACTATGAAGCAGGGCTTTATAACTCTGTTTGGGCTGTTCTTGCCCCAAAGTTTGATAGTTCCCTCTGCTAAAGGAATGGATGGTGCTACGTATGTCTGTGGGCCCTTGTTTCTCCTGTCCCTGGTTGTTTTTGTGATTTGGAGAGGATGCTGTTATTTCAGGGCTGTTTTTGTGCCAATCTTACCACCTCTTCACCCACAACCATGCTGCTTATACCTTAATTCCTATACCAGAAATGCCACAATTGGATGAATCCCTTTGCCTCATCCAGATGATAAACATCTCTGGTTAAAGGTAACATTGTGTGCTTCATCTGTTCATTTATAATGTGGGCATTATACATTTTATTGGGTTTTTGAGGAAGTATCCTGTAAAATGATATATAGAAGACAAAAAATATTGATCTCTGAGATTTGCCCTAGGAAAGCTGTGAAGTAGACAGAGCTCTGGTTCTGTTTCTCTCCTGCCTGCCACATGCTTTTCTACACAGGGGCCATCCGGACTGATGACCGCATCTGTGTAGCTGCCTGTCCCTGGGTGGCCTTGGTTGCCGTGGATGTAATGCTGTGCCTGCAGCCTCGGCTTCCTGTTCTCCTCCAGACAGAATCATTCCTACTCCCACCTTCATAATGTCTTTTGAATGACCTCATGAAGATGGGATTTTGACTTAGGATATATATATAATTTTTTTTACCCCCGCCTGAAAACAAATCATTGTAACACTCAGGTTGAGGTCTCCAGGATCACTCAAGCAGATGTTCTGGTGCCCATTGAAATTTAACACCAGGGAGTCCAGGTCAAATGCAAACTTCCTTTTTATTTGTTTAGCTAGTTATTTTATGATTTCCCCATTCCCCTTTGGAATCCTTAATGAGCCTTTATGAGAAGTTTTATTTTTCCATGTGCACCTACTTCTGCCACTTTGAAGTTGCCCCTTCAATTCTGAGTACATGGATGAGCAGCTCTGCCTTCCCCCGTCTTCTTCAAGAGCTCATTGAAATGTGACTTTACCTAGGGTGTAATTTTCTTTAGTTCTAATGGGAATTTACTTGTAGTTCCGCTTAAAAATTTTTAAGGTATTTTATTTTCACTCAGGGTCTTTCTTTTCTACAGATAGCTAAATTTAATTTCAAAAGTTATCTAAAATTTATGGACAATTCACACTAGCAAAGGAATTTCTAGTCTTCTGAGAAGTTTGCAGATAGGTGTGATTATTTCCTTATAGCTTCAGGGGTTACAGTTTGTAGATTGCCCAGAAGCAGGGATGCTATGACCCTGAATGGAAGAATTAAGATTTTCACTCAAGGCATTTGGGTCTGGTGAAGGCCTTCTAGCTGCAATGCAACATGGCAAGCAGATATAACATCATGATGAGATCTCATGAGAGGCAAAAGGAGGAGGGAAGGGTGGAGTCAGAACCCTCTTACAGGAAGTAGTTAGCCTCTCATGAGAATAAGCTCATTATGAAGACAGTTCCCTTAACGACCCTGTCACCTCCCAGTAGGCTCACCTCATAAAGTCCCCACACTGGGATTGAACCTCTAACGCAGGGAGCCTTTCAGGACTGACTGCACAACCACAGCAGCAGCTGAGAGGAGTGCCAACCCAGTGTGAGGCAGTTTGAGCGTATAGAAGTTATGAATTTAGACCAAATTTCTCCTCACGGTATATTCTTATCAGATCATGATACAATCTACAAAACCAAAAGTGGGGCAAAGAACCTCACTTCCCTCCTTCCACCTTGTGGTTCACACTTTTTAGGCCTCCCGAGAATAGGACACAAAAGGGAAAGGCAGGATATAAGGAGGCTGAAGAGATATTATTCAAAGGTCCCTTGCCCCAAGGAGGATGTATGGATTTTATCGGCATATTACTGGCTCCTCTCTCAAGCTACAGGATCCATTGCATCACTTTCTACTTAGAGCCAGTTAGCTGCTCCAGTTGCATAGTACTCTGGCAAGGGAAACTTGTTGGAGGCAAAAAGGTATGCCAATCAGACGCAAAATAAAAGAGAGAACAAAATGGGTGTAGAAGTGGAGTCAGTGTATGTGTGCTATATCTACATCTGTGTGTATGTGTATGAACATCTGTGTGTGTCCGTCTCTTTGTGTGCCCATGAGTGTGTTTGTGTGCCTCTGTATCCATATGCCTATGTACGTAAATGTTTTTAACTTGCAGGCTGACAGTGAGAAGTTTGTGTGTCCACTTGTGTATCTTTTTTTAAAAAAAATGCAATATGATATGTGTCCTTTGTGTCTTGCTTCTGTTGTCACCATAAAAATCCGTGACCGAAGTGTAGAGAGACATGTGATTCCCACTATACTTTTCTTCCAATTCAAGTTGTCTTTTTAATAATTAAGATCCTAAAAAGCATTACTTCCGTAGAATCCCATGAGGTTGTCATGAATAGTCTAGCATCATCTTGGGGAAAGTAATAATTAGGGTAAGATATGAGGTTTTAGTTGTTCTCCCGTGGCCTGAAAGCTCCCCCTACAGGGAATGCTTTTGTCATGTGCCTCACAGGATCTGTTTCCTCTAGTGAGAAGAAACTATGTTTTCTGCTCATAAGGACATTTTGTGATTTTCTTTTCTGAAGAACAGGATCTGGATCTGTGTTCTCTTTCAGTTTTCCTACTTGGAGAAGTTGCTGTTGGTTCATGGAGCCTGGAGCTACAACCGGGTGACCAAGTGCATATTGTACTGTTTCTATAAGAACGTGGTTCTCTACATCATTGAGGTAAGGAAGAGGAATTTTTTGCCCTGAGAAGAGCATCTTTAAGCAAAGTTGCCTCAAGAAAGGATTTTGTTAATATGAAATTAATGAAACTAATTAACCTGCTATAGCTCTTTAACCCATTCACACCAAAGATTGAAAGCTTTTTGAATTTTTGTATGAAATTCACGTTACCAAGAAAAATTCAAGGAGCAAAAATTTGAAGAGAACACATTTCATTTTGTTCCAGAAATGGAACCAACACAACTTGCATGTTGCCTCCTTGGAAGCTGGCTGTACCTCTGGGTCTTGAGCCTCATGTTCAATAATCAAAGCTGGGCTACACTCTTTCTTCCCTGCCATCCATACCTTCCCCCTGCATTCTGCTCTCCCTTCTGATTCCTGGGGGCCTCTTTCCCTGCTTCTGCCTTTATGTCCTATCCTGGGGTAGGATGTTGCTGTCACTCACACCCTTCTTTTCTAGGGGTAGTTTGAGACCGGAAGTGGCCAGTGCCCAGTAGCAGACATTCTCATCTTTCTTGGTGGGCACTGAGACACTTCTAGAAAGGCACAGGGCCTGGTTACTAGTCATATTTCTCTTGGGTTCTGTGGGTCTCCTGAACATTCTTTCACTGATCCTAGGATATCAAGTCCTAACAGTACTTGTATAGGGAGGGTGTGAGAGTGAGCAGGGTATTGGGACAGAAAAAAAACAAGATAATTTAAAATGTTGCCATGACTTCATACTTTTTTTGTCCAACAATTTTGCAAGATGGTGACTCGGCTACTAGCAAAATAGATGTGCTTGCAAGAAGGCTGGTCCCAAAAAAAAGTGGAAAAAGCATTTTATGTTTGAAATCAGTGCTACTGGTCACTTCATTCTTAAGAACAGTTTGTTGCTAAGGTATGGCTTTGAGGTTAACATGACAAGTGGGTTTCCAAATGTATTTAGAAAAAGAGAACCAGGCAGTCACTCTATGAAGGAATAGGAAGCGATAGTCACTCTATATTAATTGCTTATGGTGTTTTAATATCTCATTCTGTTATGTGTGGTTTCTCTCGACTCTTGGCAAAGATAATAATCAAGTCAGAGATCATTGTTTTCTGATGCACTCTGTTAAAATATTCAACTCAGACAACAAGTGGCTTACTCATGGAAGTGTAAATGACTGCTTCTCTACCAACTCCTCTAATTTTTCCTAAAGAATCATTAAGGTCAAATAGGTTCATGTCATCATCTGGTAAGTAAAGTACTAAAAAGGCTGATTTTCCCAAGCTGTGCAAGTTGCACACTTCAGAAGGCTACTCGGGCAAGGGTGTAAATGGTGCAGAAACATAGCTCCTGCTTCTCTATCCCTCAGACTTCTTGAGGTTCATCTGGAAACAGCCATGCCTTTTCCCAATTTCCAAAAGAGGCAGCTTCTTTGCTCACCTGTGTACCCAAGGGACAGTTGCATCTGCAGAGAAGATGCTTCTTGTAGCTTGCACAAAGCCTCCTCATAGGGATGAGTAATCAAAGAGATGTAGGCAGAGTTTTAAAAACTGACCTGTTCCTTATTTGGATCCTTCGTGTGAGATGATATCTGCTTGTATTAAACACGGCAGTATTATCTCTTTTAAGAAAATATTCAGCAGGACCTCAAGAAATTAGGGGACAGAATTGACATTCAGTAGTTTGAGGTTAAAATCGATATAACTTCAAAAATTATACACAATGTGTACGCTTGTCTTATGCTGTAATAGTCAACTTCACCTGCTCCGGGTAGGAACATCGGATGCTAGTGTTGTGAACTCTGTAGGCTTTGTCTTCTTCTTGCTTGCATTTGCACATTTCCTTTTTGGCACTTAAAGATGTCTGCCCCTTTCTTCTTCAACAAGTCTTCGCATCCATGATAGGAGTCACTTTAAATGTCATGAGGGTCACAGATGATAGTGTATAGGGCTATTAGAATCCCTGCTCCTAATGCCATTCCAAGGTTCACAGTGTTTTGTGCTCTTCTAGCTGTTGGCTTCAGAAGTTTTTCTTAGTAATCTGGTTTTCCTCACCATCATCAGATTACAGATAGGCTGGACTGCTTACTGAGACATTCCGCATGAAGCTACCACGTCTTTCACTTTCCACAGCACCCCTCAGTGGCCCTTCTTAGTCATTTACACCTACTATCTTGCCTTTTTAATTTTTTTTTAACTTCAAGTGGGCTCAGGCTGACAAGAGTATAATTTTAGTCCATCTGAAAACTTTGATTTGGAATGAGGCCCTGAAAGTGCCATAAAGTGTCCAAATTAATTTTTTATTATAGCTGAGCAATAATTGTTAAATGGTCTTCTATAAATGGCCTTTTCAAGTATTCTTTTTAAAGTTAAAAATGCAAAGAGACTCCACTACTCTGTGCCTAATTTTCAGTTTCATATTTCTAGAAAATACTAATTTGGAAACCAAGAAAACAAAACCCTTGACTAAGCCCATGTGGTAAGAGCACAGACTTAGTATTATTATTATTGCCCAATTAGTTCCCTGGCATCAGCACACACCTCACATAAAATTTTAGAAATACAAAGGTATTACTTGCATATTAGCTTAATATATTTGATTTACAAAATCAGAGACTGTTATAAGTTGATTTGCTCATTTACAAACAAAAAATACTAAAGGTTACCTTATAATCAGTTAAGTAAAAATAAATGAAATACATTACTCATTTCTCTTACATAGTTTTCTCATAAGTCAAGCAAAGGCCTTTTACAATAGCCAATATGTTCACATCTTAAATATTCTCTGATACATGTAATACCAGTCACTTAAGAATTCGTTCTAGCTGGGTTTGGTGGCCATATATTACCCAGGCAATTAAGCAACTTAGCAAGATGCTGTCTCACAATTTAAAAAATACGGAAAAGAACTAGATGTGTAGATCAATTGAAAACTCTGGGTTAAATCTCCAATATGACCCAAAAATATTTGGGGAGGATTAAAACACACATACTTCATGGCCTTAGGTCTAATTATGATTTATATCATTATTATATGATTTGAATTATCAGTAAAGACTGTAGGGGAAACCTGTAAGCCTGTGACATTATACACTGTACTTACTTGGTATATTAATGTACAAGATGGGTTTCCCCACAGGGACTTATGGATATACGGACATGTTCCCATTGCTATACAGAACATGCACTGGACATTTCCTTCACTCTCGTCTTTCCCTTATGTATTATCTGTCTTGATCTTTACTCTGTTGTTACTGAGATATTAAGCAAATGTTTTTAGATAATATTTGTCATATTGCACATTCTGCGATTCAAAGTGTCTTTCTGAAGCCATTCACAGTTCATACATAGAACCCTGGTCCATGATATTTCACTGCATGGCTTCCCACCATCTGTTTATCTACTTCTTGCATTGATAGCTGCCATGTTATCTCCAGTTTCACCCAAAAGGAGTCTTGTGGGATAACAACTTTACCTCTGCACTGATAACAGACATTCCACCAAAATGATGTTGAACTAACTAGGCCATTTGTATCACAGTGCCTTGAATGTAGCTTGTGCTCCATTTGTGTACTTTTATCTGTGCGAAGATTCTTTGTTGCTGGTAGATTTTATTCATGCTTGTTGAACGTGTCACATAAAATTTATTTAGGCCAAAGTACCCATTAGTTGAAGTGATTTAAAAATGAAAAAAACAAAATAGAATCTGTGTTTTCATGGTGGGCCTGTTAAAAGATAAAAGCAAAAACTTCATACAGTCTTTGCCTCCGTCTTCTGTGCCACTGACTTTAGAGTTTTTTACCTTTTATAAAACCACTAGTTGTACTTTCTCAACCATCTCTAATGCATCCAAAATATCATTTCTAAAATATAGTCAGTCAGTTCCAGGACCCAGCACAGTGTTTTGAAGAGAGATGCTCAAGATGTTGGCTGTGAATGACTGGTGAATGCATGTCTGTCTTCCAGCTGTGCCCAGGACCCCTGACTTCTCACAAAATCTCCATCTCTCTGTCATGCATTGCTCCTCTGCAGTGTGGGGACCAATTGCCAGCAGCTTCATTTCCCACTGCATCCCACCTCTCTGTTTTTGATAAATGTTTTTCATTGATGTATCATTAACATACACCAAGATATACTCCCTTCAATTATATAATTTTATGAATTAAAACTGAAATTTATCAAGAGAAACAAATTGGCAATTTTGTGTTTGCCTCCCATAGGCAATGGTGATAAGCTGTCCAGAAGAGTTCTGGAGATGGACGGGGTGATTGTTGCTCAGTTCTGTAAATGTACTGGAAATGTAGTGCAAGTGTGAATCATTAGAACTGTACATAGGAAAATGGTTAAGATCGTGCTTTGTGTTGTATCTATTAAAATATATCCAATAAAATATAGAAAGAGGAAGGGAAAGAGAAAGAAAAATATGGAAGGAAGGGAGGGAGGGGAAAGAATGTCACAAGCACTTCTCAACGTTAGTCACCTTGAAGAAGACAAAAAATACAAAAGCAGAGTGTATGTTTTGGAAACTTACTGAGGATTTGAAAAATAAATTTTAAATGGGGTTTAGTTTTGTGTTAAGCCAATTAAAATGGTAAGTTTCATGGCTGTGGTCAGGTGGACTATGTTTCCCAATAGCCTGGCCGAGCAGAGGAGATTCCTGAAGCCATCTGGGTGAGTGTGCTCCCTGCATGTCTGCATTGGACAATGGGAATGGGAATAAAATTAGCAAAAGCAAGGAATCAGGCTGAGCAGGGTGTATAAGTAGCCAGTGAATGTGATCTAAATAATTTGGTAGGAGTCCTGTTGCCATTTCAAACTGGGATTCCCTTTTTCATTTTGGAATAGGCAGGTTACATAGTAAAAGTGACTCAGAAAATTTGTAAATATGTAGGACAGATGGTAAGCAGAGAACTTAAATGTAATTTTGCAGTTTTAAGCCTGGGGCATAAATCATGATCATTGTGTAACTATCTGTTCTTGTAATTTATAGGCAGAAGGCAAGGACTGATTTCCCTGAACTCTTTGATTTTGAC